TGACCAACTTTGACAACTATTTCGAGTGAGTCCAACTAACCTGGCACATTTCAAGTCGGACTCAGTCAATTGCTGTTATTAATACACGTCAATCGTCAAAACTTGGGTTCGTTTAAAGGGCTACGCTCTCGAGATGACCTCATCGACAGCCGCCCCGGCAAAAGGACCGGAATGGTCGTGGGGAATGAAACTGATTATATGCGCAAACTGACGAACATCCTGGCTGACAAGTCAAGTTCAGGTAGCGATAAAACGTTCGTGATAGAGCAACAAATGGTAACATGCCTAAAACGTCGGTTTGATCTCTAAGACAACCTTTGAGTAAGTTAAACTCACAGGATTAACGACGCCTCGGCTGTATAGCTCGCCCAAAGTCCATAAACCCAACAGCCCACTGCACTGTCAAAAGATCGCATAGTGGCTCGTCAAAGTGCTGGAGACAGTATGCCCACAAATGAGCCCGTGCAGTTTGAGCGACACATTTCGACTGGTGGACTCAATAAAGGGACCTTGGACTGAAAGACAGATTCATGTGCTTACTGTTTACTAACGTCTCCCTAACTGAAACGGTCAACCTAAGCAAACAACTTTCAGTTGCCGATTACAGTCAAAGAATTGCGAGAGTCCCTCTTGCAAACGATATTGAATGTGCAACTATTGTACAATGGCACACTCTACCGTCAAATTGATGGCGTCGCATGGGCTCAACACTGGGCCCGATGCTAGCCCACATTTTCATAAGCAACGTTGAAAAAGTCCCCTTAAAAGCTAGCAAAGATGAGACGCAATACTAATGCCGATACGCGGACGACATTTTCGCGGTTTTAAACAATAAAACCGAGATGTAATTGTTACAACAAGAGTTCAATAAGGCCTACATGGCCACCCAATGCGCCTCGGGAGGGAAACCGATAACATCTTTTACTTCCCGGATGTTGGTCATGAACGACATCACGACAGTACACTGAAGCGATTGGCGTACCGAAAACCCAAGTGATCCGGGCAATACATGAACTTTAACAGCTTTGTGCCACGAAAGCACAAACGAAATCTGATCCACAGCCTAACTAACAGGGTGAGGAAAATATGCTCTGATGATTCGCTGGAACAATAAATCCTAACTCCCAGAAACGTTATGAAAGACGGCAGGTTCCCCGACAATGGTATTATAGGGGGAGAAGCCAACACTATCACAGACAAAATTGAGAGAAATCCCGCTTACATTAGTCTCACGTTCAAGGTTGACATAGTGACCAACCTACTGAACAGAAGACTTTACACCAGTTTGAAGAAAGTTTTCCACGGCCGCAACATTCCGAACTTGATTAAAAAGAAAGTGCCTGTTTTTCTATAGAGGAAAATGTTGGTAGCTCGGGTAGCGTAGACGGTCGTTGGCTTGTTCGCTGAGCTGGGCAAACGTTTCATCACCAACCGAGGTGACGTCATCAGTGCGTTATTGTGGAGCGTAGTAGTGCGTAGCGGTGGGTTGGTGGTTGTGCGTTGGGTAGTGTTGTGCGTGTGTTAATATACGTGCTGCTAGCAGGGGATGACNTTGTTTGTGAATCCAATATTCGGTCCTCCTTGAGGTTCCGGTTGCACGTAGGGGTGCGTAACTTGGATTCAGTTCGACGCATCGGTTGACCGAATCTTCCGTGGAGTACCATGCTTCCAGAAATTCTCTTTCGTGTCTTGTCTCCGTATGCCAAAATTTTTGCGTTTTCCAGGTTGAATTTGTGGCCTTCTTTGTCCTCGTGTATGGATATCAAGGACAGGGGGCCATGTCTCCTGACAGCCGCGTTGTGTTCCTTTATTCGTCTGCCTAATTTCCTCCCAGTTGGTCCGACTTAGAATTCGTTGCAGTTGATTCGGTGTATCACACTGTTCTTCTTGGTTTTGTCTCGGCCATTCTTCGGTCTGCAGATTAATTTCCTTAGGGTGGCATTAGGTTTGTGGGCCACGAGGATTACTTTTTGAACCAATAATCCAGTTGCGAGTTCTGATATATTCTTGATGTAAGGCAGGACTACCCGTCTGGTGACTTGTTCTTGCTGTTGTTGAGGTGTCTTCTTCTCCAAGCTTCTCTTGATAAAGTTCTTCGGATATCCATTGTTCTGGAATATTCTGAGTAGATGTTTTTCTTCCTTCTTCCGTAGTTCTGTGGTGATGCAGTGTGTCTTCGCCCTCTTGAACAAGGTTTGGACGCAGCTCTTCTTGTGGTTTACTGGATAACTGCTGTTGTATTTCTGTATTTCATCCATGAGTCTCCTTCCGGTATACGCAGGTTTCCAGAGTCCCAATCATCCTTCTGTTCACCAAAACGTCCAAGAATTGTAGCCGGTTGTCCCTCTCCAGTTTGATCGTAAACGTGATATCTTCAAGCGTTGTGTTGAGCCGTTCATATGCATCGTGTACTGAATCCCGTTTCATGATGACAAAGGTGTCGTCCACGTAGCGGATCCACAGCTTTGGACTGATGATCAACGGTACCGCATGCTCTGACCTTTGCATTACCGCCTCAGCAATAAATCCCGATATTGGGGATCCCATTAGAGTTCCTTTCAGCTGTTGATATTTTTCCATCGAAATCGCCTGTGTTTCCTTACTCTCAAGTGTAGAGTGCCTATCCACACCCGAAATATGTTAGTTTACTCATTCTCTTGATGCTGTGCGGCGGATGCATGGGTAGATAACTCGGTCAAAGAGTGAAGGCACACAACACACCTTGGCTAGCTTCTGGAACTGGGGGAACAATAACCAGTTCAGCCGTACAACATTTAGGAGACACGGCGCACAACGTGATACCCAGCCAAAGCTACCGTATTGTTTACAAGGTGCCTGATAATCCTGCCTTTATCTAAATGAGTGCATCATCTGTCACGCACGCCAACCGAGCTTATTCACCACATAATTTGGTGAGTGTTACTGTAAGCCAGCAGTTCTGCAACAATAAATCATTTACAGACGTCCATTAGTTCGGTTTATTAGCGGGTCGAGGCACAATCATCTCTCAAACAGCCGGGAAATCAAAAAGTGACAGCCGCGCAATGGGGGCTCCTTAGTAGTAACTGGGAAACAGCGAGAGAGATAACAAGGGATGCAGCTCTCAATCTAAAAAGGCTGTAACGGACGCAGGATTGGTTAGTGGAAAGTGTCCGCTTAGTCAAAATCTCATTCGGTTAGCCTAGACTACGGTTGATTTGTTTCACAGCATTTGACTTCTGCAAGCGAATCAATCACATCCCAGGGTACGAAAATGTGGAGCAATACGTACGAGACAAGATCTGGTGGGTGGTTTCCGGAGATGGATGGTTTCCAGAGAATGGAATTAGCTGGATTGTTCCAACTATAGGCGTACAAAACTAACCGGAACCTAACCGAACCTGATGTAACGGTGATACTACTGATGGGGAGGCATGCGAGTAGTATGTGTGGTTCTTCAAATTTCAATTTGCGTCTCTTGAAAAGGGGAGATCTGTCGCGGAATTTGTGGAGTCGCTTTGTAACATTTGCCTGGATTTGAGCAATGAACGATTGGAGTCTATGAATATCCAGGAAAGTGCAAGAAGGCGCATTCAGAAGATCGATGTCCAGTTTTCGTAAATAAGATGCAAATGAGAGTTTGGCTTCCCTGTCCCATGGTCAGTCGGCATTTTCTAATGAATAACTCCGCAGCGAAGACCTTCTTCCTTTCACTGATATCAGCAGAAACCCGTGCTGAAACATCTGTACGGTAAGAAGCGGCTTTAGAAGATGGGTGTCGTGCACGATATGCGAGACGGTTACCATCATCTTCATATCACGGGGTGTAGTAAAGGGTGGTGAGAAAATAGCTTCGACAGTGACAGAGAAAGCCGCTTGGCCGAAAGATACAACTGCCGGCAAAATAGCACCTATGCACTTCAACTGAGTCTTCGTTACCCCGCCCCCCCCCCCAACCAGACAATATCAGCTTCGCGTGTTCTCGTAGCGACTTACAACCAGATTTACACAGAATCATAGGAATAAAGAACGGACGGAGTAGAAAAACACAAAAAATGACATATTTTGAACTCCTCTGCATCCGAGAAAGAAAACGATAGCAGAGGTAAGAAGAGGACCGAATAAACAAAACACAGAAGAAGAGAACCAGGGTGGTGGGAGATCGGCTGCCTGGAGCGAGGAAGAGTTCGCCTAATATACAATGGTCTGCGCCTCTCGGTAGAATTAGCCACCGAGCGGGGTATAAACGGTGGGTGGGTTGGAAGTGAATGAAACACTCCGAACAACAGGCTAATTGGAGCGTGCGTGGAAAGGACGGGTGCTTGACTTGTCGGTATGGGTGCTGGAGGAAACGTGGAATAGTGAGGACAGGGGAAATGCGAACAGGATGAATCACGACCCGGTGTTCAAACGACACCGTGCACAGGACTAGAAAATCAGGTACCGCCCGCTGTTGTCGCTGATACGGCCATCGGAGAGACATCCGCAGCGCCGCATGGGTTTGACAGGGTTTTGGAAGCTAGAGGCAGAAATGACGAGGAAAGTGGTGTAAGGCATTTCTCAGACGTTAATTTGTACAACGGATTTCAACGTTCTTAAACTTCTAAGAATGTTTTAGTATATCAATAGCCACGGGCACCAATTATCTGGAAGGTGGAAAATTGTAGCAGTGTATGTCACATAATGAAATCATACAGCACATACGAGCAGTAGACTACTCGTCCCCACAATCCGCTTGTCTCGCTTGGTCCTCACTAGCGAAAAATATACTTGGCCGAGGGAATCAAGTGATCAGAGAAAGTGCCAAACGAACCGAGTAACAATCGTGTTACTGACAATTAGTTAGTAGGTTAAGTCGGTCGCAAAAGCAAACAGACATTTTTGGATAGGGGCTACCCAATGGGGGGTTGAGAACCTCGTCTAGGAAACGCCACACAAGACAATTGGCCCGGAAACCATGATCTCCGTCTCTGGGGTTCCATAAAAAAGCGGGATGAGAAGGCGAAATAACTCATACGTACTCTTATCCGGACCGTTTGGAAGACAACCCGAATCCGTCGCGGGCCATGAGGAATCAGTAGTTTGTAGTTTTTCCGGAGCGGTTCGTCCGTGTCCTTCGCAGTCGGAGGTCGCCGCAGACGGAGCTGTCTTATGCACAGAACAGATACCGATATGATGGTGTTGGTGGTGGCGATGATGATGATGCTGGTGATGATGGTTATTGACACGGAACTGATCACTATTCATTGTATAAGGATACGATTCTGCTGAGGCCTCTTGCTCCAGTACCAGATAGTCCATAAAATCACTGAGGTAAGGACAGGGGGAGAACAGATTGTATTGCATTGCGGTTACATACGGTATGCATCACAAGGCAGCGATGGGTGAGTGTGTTTGGTGCGGCCTGTAAGTTTCAAACGCAGCATTGGGTGTGCAGGCTACTTGGTATGGGTAGCATAGGTAGTACGAATATCCTTCTGTAATAATAAGGTTACTGCTAACATGAAATGCGTCCATTAAAGGAAGGGGTGTTGTTCATGTGGAGAAAAAGCCTAACCGGTCTTCAGCGAACAGAACACAGATGTAAGGGGGGGTTATACTTCAATCATCACAAAAGATCCATCTTCTGTCACAACAGTCAAGACTGAGGTGACGCTGTTCAGCTGCATGTTGCCATTTGCATCGTGAATGCTTAAGCGTTTTGGCAAGAGCATGACCTCCTGGCTCGTTGGTAAGTAGTAGTGCTGCTCCAGTTGAGGATAGCTGACTATGACGAACATTCCGCTACTAGCTACCAAACTGATGTTCGACAAGACCAGACCAGAACCAACTCCATTTATTGGATTCAATCCCGTAGTGGACTAATGGTTATTTTGCGCGCGCGGATGGTTGTTTACCCATTAAGACAGAAGAGCTGATTGGCAGATACCGACTGTGACCAATTCCGAATAGCTTATTTCCTTCAACCCCATGCGCGCGCGGATGGTTGTTTACCCATTAAGACAGAAGAGCTGATTGGCAGATACCGACTGTGACCAATTTCGAATAGCTTATTTCCTCACTTCAACACCAGTCCGATGGACCACCGACTGTTGCGAACAGCGTAACTGGGTGGTTGCAACCAAAACGGAGACACATTCAAGTGCCAGAGGGCTCTGGAATGAGCACTCTACAGTGCCAATGACTGAAAACTAGTTTATAAAATGGTCAACTCAACGTACAGAGGCATCAACGCGTAGATATCCTTGCAAACTGTTACAAGATGACCGCTACAAGTAACAGCGAATCACTTATCTGATATTCTTAACTCACTGGCGCACGTTGCTGAAAAAGGCATCAATAACTCACGTTATGCTGGGATGTGGGGATTTTCGTTTGTCCCGACGATAGACCCGAGCGAATTCGTCGTGACGAGCTGTCTTTTTCCACAAATAGTAGTAGTGAACAAGTTCGCCCACTGTCTTGTGCCGAAGCTTAATTTGAGAGGAGAAGAACGGTAAAATTGGGCTGGGAAGTTCGGGAAATGAAAAAAACTGGACGGAATTGCTGTCAACCGCACAGCTTCCAACGAATCTAAACACAATCATCGCCAGTGATGCATACTGCTCATGCTCTACTAAGACATCTATTCCTCCACGAGCTTATGACTATCAGGCACAATAACTATGGTTGAGATTATTGAGCGTGGATTTTTAGTAAAGCATTTTACGACGATCTCAGAGCTTTTTAAGCAAGCATTGCCTGAAGCTTCAACAAAGAGCGCATTCTAAATTTATCAAACATCGGCTTAATCAGGCCACGATAACGCCTGATCGCAAAAATAGGTCACGCCGGGATTTGCCGTTCATAAGCTGAACACGTTCCACATTGAAAAAAATACTAAACGGAAGGCTGAGGAGGACTAAAGAACAAGGCAAAAAACAACTCTAGTTATGATGACCTAGAAGAGAGCCAAACATCACAAACTGTGGCAATAACCCAAACAGACTTTGCTGCGTTCAATCACTCATGACTACACGCCCGTCCAACAAACCAACTAATCAACAGTAGAAGGGCGAATAACTGAAAATACCGGGAGTAGCGGGATGGGTTCACTGACGCAGAACAGATTCACGGCTCAATTGTGGCAATTTGTAAAGAATAGCTCCCCACAAAGCGCACCTCCTCGGTCACTGCGCTTGACAACTGATTCGTAAACGCTTCGTCACGATCGCACCGCAAAAAAGCATCAGTATTTACGCATAGTGTATTGTTTTCAACGATGATGATGATGTGATAAAGGCGATAAACATGAAGGTATCACAGATTTTGAGATCATGTTCTACATGGCCGAAATTCGAACGGGATAAATGCATTACAAAGTGACAAGATGTTGTATAGCATTCTGATCGGCTGCTTACTCGGGTATCGCGGATTTGACGAAAGTCCTTGTTATAAAGTGCGAATCCTTTTTCAAAGGCGGCTGAGTCTGCTTCGGACCAAGTGTCCATGTATCCGGGGATTTCTGGTGGAGGTAACAGATGAAACAAGGAGTGAACCGGAGTTGGGAGTAACGTAATAAGACGGTAAGTGTGTAGCAACCAAGGTATGCAGAACGAACCTCCCAAAAGGAACTGGCGATGAAGCTATATCACACGATAAGATGAGTATACTTTCACAGTGTGTGGAACAATTGAAAGTTCACATAATTTTTGCGACAATTTCAACGATACGCAAATATGATTTCCCGAAAACAGGTGGAGAGAAGCGCAAGAAGAGAACGTTTGGAATACTCCATTTTGTAAATATAGGGCAGGAGTAAGACTAACCAAAATAACATTATAAAAATGCCTTTTCTTTGCCAAATGAATGTGAGAAGTGGAGGTTTAAAAAGGCATTTTAACAGACTCGTTTACCAACTCTCATGTGACTGCCAACGGCATCGAATAGCGTTGAAACCACGGACCCCATTCAACAAAAGTGCAAAGCGAGGAAAACGTACCGAAAATCAGGTGCAATCAAACAATATGTTGCGATTCAAGCTTGCGGTATTTTTCACCTGTTCATTTGCCGGATATCTTCGTATGTGATTATCACTTAGTCGTCGATCCTTCCCAATAAGATCATTGGTGCTGGGCTGAGGCCAGCCGCTCTTAATAACCGAAAATCACGCTGGTTGGACGGATTGTTAACGCGCGGACCACGAACTAGACGAAGGCAAAGCTTGATTGGTCAGAATATCGGCCAATCTGGATTGGGTATCCATAGCTAAGTGCTTCTCGCCTCCTCACGAAGATTTTAGGGCGACCTTGTGATGATCCTACAAATACAGTCATGAGTAGCTTCATTTGTTTTCATAAGGGGCTGCCTCAAGCTACCGTGACTTTTGATTCACCATTGTGGGCCGAGCAGGAAGCCATGAACTGACATTAAAGTTGCACCACCGTCAGCAAAACACAACAAAACTGGACAGTATCAGACTGCTCTCACTGTAAACATCCTTCATTGTAGTAAGATTTGCAGTGGATTTGCCGGGAGATGTTTCCCCTTTACTTGATGAGGATCATTGCATAGTACACACTCGCTGCCCACTAAGCTCACGATAAGTTAAGATAATAACCGTTCAGCTGTTACTGGGGGCGAGATGGCCCAAGTGGTTAGAGCGCGAATTTACCGTGGTTCGAACCCGACCTCTGCCACTCGATTTCCCCTGTCTAGGACTGGGCGACCTGGCAGTGTCCCAGCCCTCGTGCTTCCTCCGGGTNAGGGTCCGTGGTTCGAACCCGACCTCTGCCACTCGATTTCCCCTGTCTAGGCCTGGGCGACCTGGCAGTATCCCAGCCGTCGTGCTTCCTCCGGGTGGCATGGCAGCTAGGCACCGGAATGGTGTTACAGCTGAACAATTTATTATTATTATTATTATTATTATTATTATTATTATTACAAACCTTTCTAGTGTCTAGATGGCATGGCACCCGAGGCAAATACGACGGCTGAGATACTGCCAAGTTGCCCAAGCCTAGACAAAAGCGATCGAGATAACCGGGTTCGAACCAAAAAACGTCTGGTTCGCGCCTTAACCACTGAGCAATCTAGAACTCGCCTCCACAATGTGGGTAAGGACAGTGGGACAACTTTGCCGTCTAGGCACACTCAAATGAAGCACCAAAATCGATGTTATTGGCTAGATGGAAATTGTGCGCCCACAAGCGGGTGAATACAAATGGCGCCACATCAATGGTAAGAGACATTGTCAGGTATGACTTAGTCGTCAGTGGCGTTCTGGTATTCAAGCTATTGCCTTCACTGCATGGATCTCTATTCAGTCCTCCCACTTAACAGTACGCGAAACACACTCATTTACAAATGAAGTAGGTATAAAATGGAGAGACTCAATTCCAGTTAAATCCCTCGTGAGTTATCGTTTCAGAAGGGCTTGATAAACAGTCGGTAGTTTTTATTTGTGCAACGTTTCGCTTTTGACACAAAAGCTTCATCAGGCCAAGTGAGCAGGTCACCAAACTGGCCAGGTTATAAGGCAGACGGGGAACCAATCAGTAAGTTAGTCCTCTTCAGATTATCACACTAGATCAGTGTTGAGTGTCAATTGACGGCTGCTGTCGGTTAGTAGATTGGGGGAGTTTCAAATTAATTCTGATCGGGTTTGGTTCGTTAATCTTCCACTTCAGGGTGCTTCAGTTGATGATTGGTTGCCACTGGTAGATTTTCCCTGGTCTTTGTGGGGTTGTGAGTGCTCCGACAATTTAGTTTGAGGGGGGTTGAGGTCATGTGGAATTCAGATGATGACCACTCTTCCTTCTGATGACCGCACACCAACCCGTGTCGGCTCGACTGATCCAGAACCTGCTCACTCGGCCTGATGAAGCTTTTGTGTCAAGAGCGGAACGTTGTCCAAATAAAAACTACCGACCGTTCATCAAGCTCTGCTGAAATGATGACTTCTCAATCGGTTCCAAACCTTTTTCAATTGATGGAAGATAGTGGGGCACCTATAAGCACACTGTTGCTCTAATAAGTGATGGATTGAGATGTGGTTCACACAGCTGCTCCCCCCCAGAATCCTGACAATCCCCTCTTCAGGCATCTTCGTAAGAAGTAAAAGAAGCGAAACAAAGAGTCTAGTTACAACGGGGTGCCAATCGAATTCCTCTGTGTTCACTGCGAGTACCCTTTTTGAAAAGGGGTGCCACTATCGATTCATCGCGTTTTGCTGGGACAAAGTAGAAGCAAATTAGTTGGACAATCACCATCTTTGAAGAAACGGGGTGACAGCTGACCAGTAAACCGGAATCAGTGATATAGTGCACTTACATTGTATGATGTTTTTTTCTCGAAAAGAAAACCAGTAATTGAGGTCGTAGAACGCACCACCACTTTGGCTCAGTCCCTCTCAGGGATGTTTCTGTTCGGGCGATTTCTTGTGGGAATGATCAGCTTTAAGAAACCAGCCTCAAGCTTAGCTAAACACTGACACAATGGGTATCTTATGTGACCCCTACAATCAGTCCGTGGATTCAGTTTTCATCTCTTTATTCACCAAACCACCAACAACAGACAATGATGCCATTCAATACCTACCAATAAAGATCAATTGTCATTATTAGTGACTTGATTTTGTATCATTTTGCTCGATTTGGATGATCTATGACAACTCCTTGGGGCAGGGGAACGACACACTCTTCCCAGCATTACAATAATTCTGGCAGTGAACAGACAACTGATGGTGTAGACAGTCACAAAACATACCTGAAGGAGCCACTGTTCGAAACCGAAGTCGCTGCAGGGCTTCATCTGGATCATAGTTGCACCGCATCAAGAGAAACAGGGCCTGAAACAACCCGGGGAGGGTCAAGTCACAAGGGAATCCAGGTGGTGCATGCATTCAAATCAAGATGGGACTGAGGCAAAACTACGTAGCTAAAAAAAAACAATTGCATCTGCTAGACAGTCAGAAATCAGTGTTTAAGAACAAACCAACGGCTGTTTGTACAACTATAGAGGAGAAACCGAGCAGCAGTTGCAACGCAGGGCTCATAGTGGACCAACGCACATCACAAAGATGGAGGCCAGCTGAAAGGACTGAACAAAGTCAACAGAACCGGAGTCTGCGTCGGGTTTGAGGTGCAGAAACGAGGTAGGGTCCTGCATTAGTATTTCGAGACACAGCATACACTGACATTAGAAGTACAGTCTGAGAATGAGATGCGTACCGACTAATTTGACAGAGTAGGAACGTTGGGGGTTGTTGAACATTGGATTATTGTTCTGACTTATTTTAGTGAAAATCGATTGGTTAGGTGATAGTCATTAGTTTTAGACTTTTGATTGCTGCGTGAAAGGGGGATGTTGAGCGGACAAAGTATCGTGAACATAAAGAAAGTGCGGTTCGGGGTCCAGCTCGTGGTAATCGATAAAGTACTCTGACCTGCGAAATGAAAATTAAAAAAGGGCTCTCTATAGTAAACTTCTATAATGGTAGTTCACCTGGAATACCCTTCCGGTGCATAGCTACAACGCCACCCGAAAAAAGTACCAGGGCTGAGATACCGCCAGCTTGCCCAAGGAGCAACCGAGATGCAGAGGTTGGGTTTGAACCACGGAACTTCCCATCAGTAAATTCGAGCTTTAAGCACTGGGTCATCTCGAGCTCACTTGTACGTAGACTCGCCTGGTCCTAGGTAGCTTGCAGTCACGCATAAGTGCGCACCTACTAACAGGTTATTTTGTGAAATGGAAGTTCTACCGGACACTAGATCACTGAAAATATTTCACCAAATGTGTACGGATTTAGGGTTATTCTGTATTATGATGTCCTTCACTGGAGTGAGGACGACCGCGCTGTTCCATAAATATGAAACTTCCAGCCACCTAAATTCACAGGAGTTAACTCTAGTACTGCCTCACAATACACTTTCGTATTCGTATAAGGAATTCGACGCTATCCTTCGGCATTCGAGGAACAAAGTTTCAGTCAGTGCAGCCCACTGGATCAGCTATAATATGCAAGACCGATTAGCGTATCGAGTCGATTAGCTTGTGGTGGAATCTGAATCCATGTGGTCTAAACATCGTGAGTAGAATGAGCAACCTTCACTTTTGGCTCAAATAACCCAGCCCAACTAGTTTACCACTAACTTGATGAAGTTAGTGAGCATGACGGTCCTAGGCAGACCACAGGGACGCAAAGATTTCAACAGGAATTCAATTGCCTTGGGATTTTGAACTAATCCACAAGATGATCACCCAATGGGGTGAGATAGCCCAAGTGGTTACAGCGCGAATGTACTGACCGAAAGGTCCGTGGTTCGAACCCGACCTCTGCCTCTCCACTACCCCTGTCTAGGCTCGGTCAACCTGGCAGTATCCCAGTCCTCTTGCAACCTTCGGGTAGAATGACAGTTAGGCACCGAAAGGATGCTACAGCTGAACGATCACTCAGTCCAAATTGAGGAAAACCACATTTTTTCATCAGCATATGAGCGTTGCAAGTAAGAGTGAAACGGGAAAAAGGAGCAATGATCAGGCTTGAGTTTGAGAAAGAAAAACTATAGCGACTGCCAGCTTTAAGATAAAGATGTTAGGGAACGACTAAAACCAAAAAATAGCACAATGTACTGCATCGAGTGAAACTGTATCGATCGAAACAGCTGAGCAGCAGCAAACTGGATAAGCTAATTTATCTCAAAGCTTATGGGTCTCATAAAACGACAGGGTCGCTGTGGAATACGCTTCCAAACACGGACCAAGTGTTGCAAAAAGTAAACCACTACTGTCGCTGGGATTTCGCACAAACATACTTCTTCGTCGTCGACCGTTCGATCGTTCGGCACGGGACACATAGCCGTCTGAGCGAACAGTTGTTCAAAATGTATAACATCCGCCTCGGGAAGTTTGTCCGGCTGCCAAAGGCGACTGGATTCATTCTCGAACCGGCGCGTATCCCACAAGTCGGATGTGGGATCAGCAGATGAATTCGATAAGGAAGGAGCCACACAGGCTTGATATTCATCACCAACACGAATTTCCTGCAATGTGGAAACGTAACGGAGTGGGATGAATAGCAGTTGTTTCTAGCGGGCGTGACAGCCTTCCAAATACCATATTTGAAACAAACACATATAGTAAAAAGCCAAGGATTAGGTCGCATACATTGTGTTCGTGACGGATGGTTACACTTGTTATTTGACAGCAGAAAGGCGATCGGTTGCCCTTCCACGGCCAAAAGTTAGTCCGCCCATACGATTGGATGTGAAAATGGCTCCAGACTAACATGCTCAGACTAACATATGCGGCCAAAAATGTACACAGGACAGGAGAAGAGTGATGCGGATCAGAATCAAAAAGGAGGTTAACGGCGGATAATCACCCGGTAGGCTGACAATGTCTGTCGGGCCGCCAGACCAGAAAGTCCGGTCCTAATAACGTACGAGAAAGCTTGGTGTTTAAGGCGCGAATTTAGCGGTCGGGAGGTTCGTGGTTCGAACCCAACACCAGCATCCATATCCAGGTAACCTGGCAGTACCTCAGCCGCTTTACTTCCTTCGGGCGGCAGGGAAACTGGACAGTGCAAGGGTGTTACGGCTGAACGATTGTTATTACATTAGCATCATTGTTGTTATTTACAGTACGGTCAAAATAGCCACATGCGTTGCTCAGATAGGCATATATTCTTGCATGCCTACAGGCGGTACTTGAATCCCGAATGCATTCAAGTTAGTTTCGACTTGTTGGTCGGATGTCAATGACATCGGAGTCCGTTGAAGTCGGTACCATGGGAGTTCCAGGGTAACAACTCAAAGCTGGATAAGACATCTTGTGATGATGTGTTGAGTGTATGAGTGATTTAACTTTGAGTCTGTCGCATCGCATTCCTTTACGGTTAGAGGTAGTTAGTTTCGGTAGGGAAAAATTTACTTGTGTGCTTATGTAAGCCTAGAGGGAAATAGCACACCCGTGTGCAAAAGTACAAGACGACAACGAATAGGGAGCTAGTTAGGTTTAGTTCGGTAGAGAAAAATTCACAAAATTCATGAAATATCCCGTTGGGGCATGGCTACTAGTGTAACGGTGATACTACAGATGAGGAGGCAAGCGAGTAGTGTGTTGTTCTTTGAATTTCGCTTTGTGTCTCTTCAAAGGGGGAGATCGGTTGCGGAATTTATGGAGTCGCTTTGTAGCATTTGCTTGGATTTGAGCAGTGAGTGATTGGAGTCAATGGATATCCAGGAAAGTTCAAGAAGATGCGTTCAGAAGAAGATGGATGTCCGGTTTTGGTAAACAAGATGCAAATGAGAGTTTTGCTTCCCTGTCTCATAGTCTGTAACCGGTCAGTTGGCATTTCCCAATAAATAACTCCGCAGCGAAGACTTTCTTCCTTTCACTAGTGGCCATCCAAATATACAATCTACAAAAAATCTAAATTTTATCCGACTGGCATACAAGACAACGTAAAAACTAAGGAGGATCATGGATCTACACAGCTAGTCCTTATACTTACTACCGCACAACTAGGATTGACATAGTTGAGGAATCGATCTTCGTGTCATCACTGTCACTAGCGGTTCACTTGCGCTTGCGGTGACACTGATTGGCACTCCCTCCCTCCGAAAATAGCTGAATATGTGTAGGACAAAATGTCTGACCATCAGTACCTTGTCGTCCGTCCACAGTCCGAAACCTAGCGCTATCCAATGCAAGACCTCTGCCATTCTGCTGACCTCAGACAGTCATTCAGAATTCCAGTCAAAAAGCAAATACCAAAAATACTAGTTAGTGTTTTGCGAAGCAACGCTGATTCAGTTGAAACAGTCCGTTTTATGTGCACAAAAGGTATTGACTAGAAATTCGTGTGTATCTTGGCACTAACTTCGGGCTAACACTCCTACCGTTGTGTGTTTTCGCATGTCCTCAATGCTAGTTCCACTTATTGAAGCGATAAATGCTTGTCTTAAGTGGAGGACCAACGAAAGTCTCTAGTCCCTCAATAACGGTTCTGATCAAATGAATTAGGGAGATTCACGACTTCAGAATCCTAACCAGGACTAGGTTATCCACACAGTTTAGCGCCTGACAGCATCCCAACGCCGTTGTACGTTGAATTCGTAGAGGTATTCAAACAAAAGCGGAGAAATCGAGCAATCCTGACGGAGATTGCTAATGATGAAAAAAAGAGACCCCTGCATTCTCAACTGCATATCCCGAAGTGCAAGAGTACAAAGACTTCAAAATGTTCAGACTATTTCCTCGTAACTCACCCCACTAGTAGGCAGTGAGAAGCGACAGCTCACTCTCAACGCAGCAAAGAGCATTTCACTAATATCTATGAGGGATGAACGAGTTAGTGTCTCGAAGGATGTGGTTAGTCCGAAAAAGAAACCAGCCTAAGTTGGTGCTCTGCGTACCACAAGCAGTTGTCGCAACGTGGATATGCCCGGCCCAAAAAACTAGCCCGCTCCTCTTGAGGAAGTCACCGTAGGCTGATGGGCACGAGTAAGTTGGAAGCGACGTGGATAAATCCACATCGCGGCTGTTATTGTCACTACAGATGTCGGTCTTATATAAAAATAGGAACGATAGCAACTGCACGTCATTCAGCGACTGTTCCTTCAGAGGTTCAAATAGATTTCAAAATGTAGTGAGTACCTGCTAGCGAATATGAAATTTCAACAACACCCGCTTCCCTGGATCCCTTGACGTCCTGGTGACTACGTGAGCAGTTTCCGAATTTGTTCTGATGAGCCGTTGTGTACTGGCGGAGAGCTAGGTTTTAGCGGAGACATGACGGTAGTTGAAGCGTCCCTGAGTTGTCCACCCATCATTCACCTATACCATCAGGTAACGCATGCCCTATATGCATTATCTGTTGTCCAGACACGGTAGTCCAAAAACCTCAGAGTAGATTACGAAGACCTCAAATGAGGATGACAACTGCGCAAGTAGACCGACACAAAGAAGAGGTGGGGGGTCGTCTAAAGAGAATCACTCCGGATTTGATCGATAACATTCGTCCATCGATCATCAACTCATTTTAGACTGATTAAACCAACACATTTCCTTCATGTAGAATCATTCGCTCCCATGTTGTTGTCAAATTTGTTTCCGTGTACTTGGAAACCCATATTCAGATCTCCAATCGTTTGACACTAAAGGGCACTATTGAAATGGACTTTTCTTGATCTGCCCACCCACAAGCCAACGGATTATGTGACCAGGCTAATACTGTTTTCGGCTGCTGTGTCAGTCGGCTTTCCGTAGAAAAGATCGTTCAGCTGTAGCTTAACTGCCATGCCACACGGAAGCACGAGGGCTGGGATACTGCCAGGTCGCCCAAGCCTAGACAGGGGTCCGGTTCGGACCACGGACCTTCCGGTCAGTAAATTCGCGCTCTAAACACTTGAGCCATCCCGCCCCCGGCTTTTCGTAGTTTAACTGTGGAACCTTCCTCCGAGAAAAGACCGTTCAGCTGTAGCACCCCTTGAGTACCTAGCCACCCGAAGGAAGCACGGGGTCTCCCAAGCCTAGACAGGAGCAGTCGATACGCAGAGGTTGGGTTCAAACCGCAAACTTTCTGGTCAGCAAGTTCACGCCTTAACAACTGAGCTATCCTGAGTTCTCCTGTTCATAGGCACACAACTGGTTGGTAGGCGGTAAAACGCAAATACCAAGGTCAATGATGTTCTGACAAAAACTCAGAAGTACTGTAAACAACACATGACAGTTCGGGAACCACAAGATAAAAAGAATCTCTGCTCGACTCACAGGGGCGATAGGCGATCTTGGATGCGTAATCCGAAAATTTTGGTAAATCTAAGCAGAGTAAGCTATTCACACATGAGGACAAGATGACTGAACCTGTTAATATGATTAGACGAGCAAACGAAAAACACATGCTCGGAGAACGACGCAGAGAACGGCGCCTCGTAAAGGTCATCAAAGGTCACCACAGTATTCGGATAGCAGGTGCGTGGAGAGTGGGGCAGCATACCAGACACGGCTTAGCAACATGCGGCCAGTGCAGCGGGTGTGAAAGTGGTCAGGGCAGGAATGTCTGCATTGGCTGGACAAAAACGAATGAGCGAACGACCATATTTGGCCATTCAACCATCCTGTGTACTTACGCACTGGCTCTGTGTGTTTGACTGACAGTAAAGCCGTGTTCCCGGTCTTCTGTCCACTTATCAAGTAGTCTGGCAGGCCGGATTCAAGCGAGCCGATGGGCGGTCTCACGATACACGTCTCACAGGGTATTATTCTTCGCTCACACCTCCCGAAAGCCTCGCGGATATGCAGCCGACTGGAGAAATGATCACTGTGTATGGCTGTCCCCAGTTGCAGGAATGTGGGTTGGCAATTACTCATAGCAATGACAATAAACAGTAGGGTATTTCAGACGGACGGCAGAAACTGGGTAAATTTATAACAGTAATGGTAAAAACAACAATAATATTAGTAACTCACTCCTCTCCAATCTGGACCGCTCTCCACACTCGGAGCATAATCTTCGTCTTCCTCCGAGTTATAGGAGGGAGGAGATTCTCCGGCTGAAGATACATGAAATAGACGAGTCTCAGGGAAGGGAACAACAAAATGAAAACATAGTTCACTCTCGTACAGCGTTGGATTTTCTTTTTTTTTCACAAGGCCGATGGTCAGTTTGGTGTCACTCATGATGTCAAATCTTCCAAGCCTACTTCACAGTCCACCTTCGAGATGGTTTCGCATGTAAGCACATGTTCGCTGCCACCTCAATGCTCAAGAGCCAAGGAAAAGCGGTCAACTTGACATGGTGGTCAACCCTGATCGCTGCGACCAACCCGTCGACCAAAACGACCGGAATTTCGTTCCGCAAGATGCAACCATACCAGGAGAATCAAAAAGGAACAGACAAGCAGTTATGGGAGGGATGAGGTGTTCCCTCCAGGCAACAAAGCTATACCACGAGGAAGAATGGATTAGAAAAGGTCATCCCTAAAAACCACAGACTCCAATGGTCCGACAATTGATCGTGACACCGGCGGATTACCCAGTGCGGTCAAAATACAAAGAGCTCGATACGACTCCAAGTGCATCTGCTGTGCGCAAAGCATAAAGAGTGAAACATCTATGCCTCGTTCCCTGTGCTCTCTGGTGAGGTGAGCCCCCTGGAGCCATCAGTTCCGATAATCGCCCAAAAACCCTACTAACCACTGCCGTTTGGGTCCGAGGCCGGGAGCGGGGTTCCCTAACAAAACACTTCTTCCTTCCACTGTCTCCTGGGTCGAGGGCTAATGGTGGGGCACCTCAACTAAACCTCCCTCCTGGGCCTGGACAGTCTGGAAGTATGAGTTGCACTCACGACTAATTGTCCCCCAATGGCTCCCCAAAATTCCTCTTCACCCTACAAACAAACGTCACTGCATCACTTGGCTGTCCGTTGTCTGGCCGGTGCGCATTACACAACCCACCGCCTGTTAACGGTAAGTAAAAAATAACGCTTTCCTCACGGAGTAGTCTGTCTCCTGTGGACAGCGTACCGCAATACCTCGAGTATAGTGCTCATTGACACATGAGACAGCTTTTATGAAGCACACTCAGTTGAACAATATCACAAACACTGGGGATTCAGCTAAGTATCCTGTGAAGACCAAATCAGTGTGCAAATGAGCGTACCTCGCGAACTGCGTCCTATTTTTATTGGAGTAGAACATAAGGTTGGCCGAATGGAAACTGGGGGACTGAGCCTAGCTGATAAGCATCAAGAAGGGCGAAACCGGTATGGCGGCTGCCCGCCCCATTTCTTTCTCCTTTCCGTCATAAGGCCATATTGAAATCAAATAAGATGGTTGCAGGGCAGTGAGGTATAAGTGCTTTGTCTGGTGCCATTTCTTTCTCCTTTCCGTCATAAGGCCATATTGAAATCAAATAAGATGGTTGCAGGGCAGTGAGGTATAAGTGCTCTTGTCTGGTGCTTGTCAATCACGACGATGGTCACTTTCACCGACGGTATAACACCGGAGCTTCTGGGTCGCGTATGTCCACAGCGAAGCCAAAGACTTGTTGGCTGCCCTGAATAGCGAACACCGGTCTAGATGTGATAACATTGCACGCGTTACAGCCAGCAAAATTGCGACACATTTGTTCCGACAGTTTGAAACTGAAACACAATGCTGATTTAACGACAAAAAGAAAAGCATTGATGATCATGCTATTTCGTGTTTTAGTTTCAGAATAAATCTGTGTTTAGACAACATTTTGATGTATGTGTTGTCCAGAGACGCAGAGATTGTTTTGTGAGGTGTTTTGATCGCTCCGTAGATCTATAATGTCACTTCAAACCTCCTAAGTGAAAGCGCGCCACCGCAAGGGTACCAGCAACGAGCGACCCTTGTGGTACCATCAAGGACAAAAATCCCCGTAGAAGAACCGGGGAATGGCGCTGAATAGGTCATATGCAGGAAGCCATTTGGAAGGGTTTAGTCGACAAGCTCGCAACAGTCACCTGATCAACAAGCAGTACGGGGGATAGACTTTCCATAAAAACTCGAACATAGAACATAGCTCGAATAACCGACAAGAACAACAACAAGAATGTCAAGTTTGGATTCCTACCTCCGATTGCCTTCTTCCAAAATCTCAAGGAAAATGTCTCATCATGGTCACTGTCTCTGCTTCTGCCGTCCCCCTCATCTCTCAACGAAGTACTGTCGGCCGCACGGCCTACCTCCTCTTCTTCTGAGTCAGGATCAGTATGGGGTTGAGAAAGTGGACGGTCCACCCTTGTGACCATGGAAACGTCTTCATTTTGTACCGTTCTGGAAGTGTGACCGATTTCGTGTTCGTTCTGTTCGTCCGGCATCAGTGTTAAACTGCTGGCTAGGTGCCTTTTGCGACCAGCTGGGTTGGACAGGCCGGACGGAGGCTGTTCGGGCTGCGAGAGAGAACCAGTTGTAGGGTCCAGATCCGCGGCAGACTCCTGAAACAGCACACAGGAGATGAAGAAGAACATTTTCGGAGCCGTCAGGTGGCGCGAGACAAATTTTTCGCTTACGTGCAGCATTTCTTGCAAACAACGACTAGGAAAATCAAAACAAAAATAATTGTGACTTGCCGCTGGAAAGAGCCTGTTACCACAAAAGTTCAAGTTCCGACTGAATTTACTGCGTCCCTGTCAACCCTTTCGCGTAACTAATCTGCTGCAGTTTCGCTACTAATGAGTTAATACTGCCAACACAGGCTGAAAGTAGCAGTTGAGCTTTTTAACCAAGAACCATGTGCGTGTGTGTGTGTGACGGCTCTGGTCATCAAGATTGGCAGCCTGAATCACACGCGTAAGTGAATTTTCACCAAGCAGTTGCAACACATGATTGACCCATCGGAAGGTTCACGCGATGAACTGACCAAAGTCATCATCTCGTCCTTTGAAATGCGCTTTGCACTCATGCAGCCACTGAGCATGCCACTTACAATCAAGAGGCATTCGAAGTTGTGGAACATTTAACGTATCTTGGAAGTTGCATTAGCTCCGACTGTACAGTGACAGATGACGTTGATGCACGAATCCGAAAGCTCAGATCGCGCTGACTAATTCAAGATACCTATGGCGCCAAAGGGGCATATCCCTGAGTCTCAAGCGACATGTGTATCAAGCAACAATGCAGGATCTTTTGTTGTACGGCTGTGACGCTTGGACTGCTGGAGCAGCGGAACTGAGACGTCTTTGACAACCGTTGTCTCAGAACTATAACTCGTGTGGGTTGGTGTCGGAGAATCCGCAACCAGACAATTAGAGAGCGGGTTCTCGGTTGTGAAACGGGGACTCCCATTGAAGAATACGTCGAGTAGCAAGCGCTGTGTTGGTTAGGCCATGTATTCCGTACACCGAATCATCGTTTGCCGAAGAGAGTGCTACTCTCCATACCAGATTCGGAGTGGTGGAAGCGGGGAGTTGGTCAATCTTTGACTTGGCAGAGTTATGAAAGAGATTACGAAAAGTTTGAGTGCCATGGGTGCGAGTCACATTCCACGATAGAAACCGCGTGATCCCCACTGGGCCTGTCCACTTTTGTTATTTTCTTCACAAGGCTTTTAAGTAAATCAAAGCTGTACGGCAGCGAAGCATCAGTGTTAGACGCCAACGTCATGCTGTCGATGATGATGGTGTGTTCACAGAATCTCCTCTTAAATTCCGCTCAAGGTGGCCGGTGCTGTCAACCACATTGGTGACGAAACCAAATTGCCCAGCTTAGCGAACAGAATGACTCTTCAGCCTGAGGTACCAACACCTACTAAATTGCAAGCCATTTAACATGCCCCAGTGTGTGCTCTTGTAACAAATTGTCCTGACTTGATGGACGATCATGCAACTCTGTATCGGTCCCTTGGCTTCCGGCTCCGCCCACTATGGTGTATCAAAAGGCACGGTAGCTCTACACTGCCCTTTATGGAGACAAAGGAGAATTATTACGGCTGTATTTATAGGGTACTCCCAGGGTATTCCACAAGGTCGTGCTAGAATCACCGTCAGGGGGCGAGAAGCGTCGAGTCAAAGGTGCTTGACTCGGATTGGCTGGCATTCTGACCAATCAGGGCATGCTATCGTTTGGCTCGTGTCCTGCACGTGACACATCCGTCTAAATGGTGTGATGTTCGGTTATTAGGGACGGCTGGCCTCCGAACACTAATACATGAAATATCGCATTAAATCGCGATCATCCGGAGTAAGTAGTCACTTTTCATCTCCCTTGCCATCACCATCATCGACAGTATGAGATCAGTGTTCAACACCGATGCTTCACTGCGTACTCTCCCTTGCAAAATATCACAACAGATAAATACGCGACAGATTCATTTCGGAACCACGTTCTTCGCTAACTCCCCGGTGGGATCTCTGTACAGTTTTCCCGCAACATATCTGGTAAGATGGGTCGCACCCCATTGCAATCTTTTTTCACAGAATGACTGGGGTAAAAACAACATTAAACCATTATAAATTATATCGATCGTATCGACAGATTGTATTAGTTTGTTTACTTGCATATGCCCAAAGTACGGCTCGTAAGCATGTTATCGCAAAGGCTCTTCTGACAGACGTGGGATGCACTAATAAAGAAAACCTTCGTAATTGGATAAATAAACAAATGAATAGTGAATGCAAGAAAAACTTCGAACCGAATTCGAACGCTTTTCCTGGTTCATCATCTAATTACTCCTATGTTCATTGACAAAGACGGAATAAGCGACACACAATGAAAGGGAATGAGGCACTTTTTGAGAGGATACTTGGTGTTAGGAGGAAACTATCTGAACGCCAGACCACTTTCATATTAAGAGAGCACAGGTTTGACTTTCTGTGTCCACTGTACACAACATTCTATGAAGGTTACATGTCTAAGAATGATTACAACAAAGAAGAGAGAACATCACCAGAGGAACCATTTCGGTGGGACACAAGACTCTAGTAATCGGTGTACGATGGTCTGTTGGCCCACAAGATGGCATACACGCTAGCAGACTCGGAAAAAGAAACGTACCGAAGAAGTATTCGGATGGTCGTGTGCTGTGGAATGCGTTTTGGCGTCCTCATTCAGGTGTTGGCCTGGAGAGAGTCTAGGACTGAGTGGGACAGAATAATGGGATTCCTGATCAACAGACAGGGGAACAGATGGTGAACTGGGATTGGTTGAACGACGGATCCGTTTGTTGGGTACGATGTCTGTGACAACTTTGAGTTCCTCCTCTTGTTGAGCAAGTGAAGGAGCGTGAGGAGGGGAAGGTTTAGTCTGGCGAGCTGATCGCAGACGACTTGACCGAGTGGTTGATGACGAAGATGCTTGTGCCGCAGCTGACCGAGCAGCCATTTCTGATGCGGATACCCCGTAGGAAGCCAATAACTCTTCTAGAGACATTTCGCTCTCCTGAGAAACGGTCAAAACAAGGGTTCAAGCAAGTAAATTGAAATGGTCTTTGGTATCCATATACAATGTCTAGCAAGAAAATTCTCAACTGGAGCACTGCATAGTCATAGCACAGACATTCTGATCACCACCAGCCAGCAAATTGATTTAGCTTGTTTAGACAGAACGCCAGGCGTTCTTAGCTTTAGAGATAGACAAGTTCCGTAATGTTCTGATGCGATACGGATGTGCGAAACATGCTCAGAAGTTAAAATCTTGGACAACTGCGGCACACCAATATATTGATGGAAGGAGAGAAAAAATAGAGTTGAAATTACGCTCCCGCCTCTGGACGTTAAGGAGATGGTGTAGCAGAGAAGCAGGCGCTCTCTCCGATAGACTCAAGGATTTACCAAATCAAGCATCTGACGTTTTTTATTGTTGTTCACTGATTTTTTTATCGCTGTTTTGTCCATCACACATGCATCCTTGATTCCCGTAATCCCGTATTGGAGTATAGTAAGCATTCTACTTGTTCGATCCTTACTGTTGGTTCTTACTTTTTTCCTACACATAAGCTGCATGCTCAGAATGGTGCCTACACTGAGCAAAATAACTTAGTGTTTCTTCTGACCTGACAGGTACATTACTTGTCATGTCCTTGGTCAATATTCAGAAGTACATTGTTGTCTATCCGAACTGGAGTTAAATTAGCTCCTTGCATAAATTCGCATCATTTCTCGACTGATACAGATTACTCTGGTACTGTTCCTTCATAATTTGGTAGGTAGATCCGAAAACGCTAGGCTGATGAACGCTAAGGAGGCTGGGTACTTCGTGTGGATACCTCGGATAACCCATTCTGCCACAGTACGAGAAATTAACACAGATCTAAAAGACGAGCTCCAGTCTCATGGGTCTGACCATTAAAGTCAGACCTGTGACTGCAGTTATCAGACGGCCAATCGAAAACATCCAACGGAAACAACTACTCAGAGGAATTTGTTCTAAAACAAATCTATTCTATCACACAAGAAAGGCAGCGTCCCCCGATTTTCCGGTGGACGTTGATCCGAAGGAAACGCAGATAATTTCAAAAGCTAGTTTCCACAGAGTCCATTCAACGCGATCAAAGCTTGAATGATAACTCGAACAAACCTGGTTGTTCAATTCAATCGACGTGCCAGGCGCCGAATTAGAGCTGGAGGTACCACCGAAGGGAAGCTTCGGCAGAGCGTCCAAGGCATCCCTTTTCGTTCAGCTGTAGCACCCTTTCGGTGCCCAACTGTCATGCCACCCAAAGGAAGCATGAGGGCTGGGATACTGCCAGGTCGCCCAAGCCTAGACAGGGGAAGTCGAGAGGCAGAGGTCGGGTTCGAACCACGGACCTTCCGTTCAGTAAATTCGCGCTGTAACTACTTGAGCCATCCCGCCCCCTAACGAAGGTAGAGTGGACCTATGAGTGTACGCTGAATACACTTGATTTGCGGCCTTTTTTTAACGAAGCCGCTGGGCAGACCACACAATGCGACAAGCGGTCGGCGCTACTGAACATTTATCATTCCTATTGCGTAATCTTCTCCTCAGTGCCGTGACGTGCTACCGATAGATTTTGCCCGACTATCAGGCTACTGCACTCCACACATTCGACAACCCCATACAACGGATAGCAATCAGGCGGAAAGCGTTCGATCGGCCGGGGATAGTTGAGAAACATGAGAAAAATCGCTCCCTATCAAAAAACGCATACCGACAGACTGGTGAAACAGAAAAGGAATGAAAAGTGCACAAGGGGAACTTTGCTTCAATAAAAGCCCTTAAGACTAGCTCCAGTTATTTGTGATGAGCCTTTTTCCGTGAAAATGGCCTGCCTACTTTGTAGTTGGATAAGCTTCATAGTAGCCCGTCAACAAAGTGGAATGGCTGAAGACGTGAAGCCATTCCGATCAGCTTTCAAAACAGCTAACATAATTTGTAGAAATAAGAACCAATTTTCAAAATAAACGTGGAACTCAATGAGTCCCGCCTGAATCCCTCATCCACACAATCCTTCAACAAATTGTGTTGATTGTCCCGACATGTTACAGGTTTAGACGGTATTTAAGGCTTTGAAATGTCTTTCTTCATATGAAAATAATGTGATGAAGATCCCGTTCTAAAGCTGTCACCTTTTCGTCCTGGTCGAGCTTAGATGCTCCAATGATCCCGAGGGCTATGCTTGTCATGGACTCAATCAGACCATGTGGGGTAAGCAATTTGACTCTGGTCATGCTAGTGTACGGGCCAGATAATCACTTCGCTTTTCCACACGTGCCGCACCAGAGCGACTCCATTCACCAATTTCGACAAGTTTCGATGGCTCAACAGTATCGGGCTGATCTGGATAGAAAGCTACTGGAAACCGACTCGTGCGGATGACGAAGATTGCTTGGAGGTTGAATGGATGTAACTTTGAGAAGTTATGCCCTCAACCTTTAGAACTATGTTCCCAAACCATCTGACTCGACTAAATGAACCATGGATATCGTGAAGACCAGTAGATCTCATTTCTGTCAGAAAGGCCATGCCAAGAACTCGTAAAATGTGACGGCACATGCAGATCCCCAAAAACAGTGGATAATCAAGAGCTTGAAAAATGACAGAGAACGCTGATGGGTTGCGAAAGCCCAGGAGATGGAGAAGGCTTTCGCTGCAGGCAACAGCAGCCAGCTGATTCGATCAACCAGTCAAAAGAAGGCAGGTGTCGTAGAAACAAAATGCGATGAAGATGGAACGGCGATTCATTCACAAAACGGTCGTCTTGAGTGATGGGCTGAAAACTTCAAAGAATAGTTCAGTTGGTTCCCGACACAAGCACTAGAATAACTCAGTAAGCCTGAATGGAACGTCGATATCAACCCGCAATCAACAACCGAAATCCAGTGTGAGATATCTATCCTCCAACGCGACAAGGCACCTGGTGCGGATGGTTTGAATCCCACACACACTCCTCAAAGGTAGCGAGGTCCGAATGAACTGCCTGGCGATTATACTTTAGAGGATTTGGAACAAAAACAGAATGTCAGAGGAATGGAGCTCCTGGACCGTCATCCCAATCTTCGAAAAGGGTGAAAGAAACCATGTGGGCATCAGTCAAGTAACAGTCGCATCCAGGGTGCTCTCTGGTAATATTTTGCATAGGTTGATGAATTGTCTCGAGCAACGGATTCGTGAGAATCAAGCTGAGTTAAGCCCTGGTCCGGTGAGAATCAAGCTGAGTTAAGCCCTGGTCGGGGGTGCTTCGACCATATCCTTACCTTGAGACAAATTCTTGAATAGCGCTACCCCTGCAGACGTCCCACGTTGATCGTTTTCCTGGATTTGAAAGCTGCTTTCGATTCTGTCGATCGTCAGCAACTTTGACAGTGTCTGGCGATCAAAGGTCTCCCTTCTAAATTTATATACCTTATGAGGGCACTGAATGCAAACTCCTGTAGGCGCGCACGAGTATACGGCACGCTTTCGTCTGGGCTCATCACGTCTAGTGGTGTAAGACAAGGATGCCCTCTCAACTTTGTTATTGACATGCTGCTTGAAATTCCTCTGCCTGCCTCTGAAACCTCGGAAGTCGAAATGCACCTGGGACGTTAACCTCATAGACGTTGACTATGCGGACAGTATTGCTCTCTTTGGTTCAGACCCCTCCCAAATTCAAAAGATCTTAAAGAAATAACTAAATAACTCTGCCGCACGGTTTGGCATGCGCTTCACACCTGCAAAGTGTAAAAGGCAGCTACAAGAACGGGTGGGATCAAACCCACACCTCATGCATGCAGGTGAGCCAATCGACGTGGTGGATAAATTTGTTTACCTGGGCAGCTGTATACGTTCCGGTGGACTGACTGGAGATGAGATTATTTATCGAATCGGAAAGGCCAGGACAGCTTTTGCCAACCTCCGACACCTGTGGCACCGACGTGACGTGAATTCGTCTGACGCGGGCAAAGTTTACTCTGAGGCGGTGCGATGCATACTGCTGTATGGATCACAGACGTGGCCCCTACGCGCAGAGGACATTTGGAAGATGTCAGCATTTGACCATCGGTGTCTCCGAAGCATTGGTCAGATCTGGTGAGAACACCGGATTAGCCATACTGAGGTACGCCAGATGGTCTTAGGAAGAATGAACTTTCCCGCAATAAGTGAATTACTCACGCTTCATAGGTAACGCTGGTTTGGCCATGTACTCCGCATGCTAGAAGACCGTCTGCCTCACAGAGCTCTTTTCACCCAGCCCAGTGCTGGTTAAAAGCGGCCAAGAGGTGAACAATGTATCACCTGGCAAAGTAGTATGAAAATGCTAACTAGTGAACTGAGTCAGGTCGACAACTGCCACTCACTGGATGGGGACCCCGGGACTCAACTCACCATAGGTTAAGGACACTGGTATAAATGACCAAATCCCGGAGTTAGTGGCGCTCGTGTACCAAAGCTATCGCCTTCAGTGCGTAGCTATCCAGTCTCCGAACTGATTGAACATGGTATCGCCTCCAAGGCTTGGCTGTACGTCTTAATCTCTCCTTTTCCAGTGACTGAAACTGTAGCAGCTGAAACCAATGTGACCATGGTACACGGTTTGGTAATTGATCAGGTGGATGTCGATCCGTTCGCCGAGCTTGGCAATTGATTTGCGAACGTTTCGTCACCATTCGAGGAGATATCTTCAGTGCGCTCTTGGTTGGGTATTCCCTCTCTTCGTGCCTTAGTCTATATGGTTCACAAAGGGCAGGCTTTGAGCTGTAATCTGATTGGCCGTCGACAATCATCGTACTTGGATTCTGGTTGGTTCAATCATATACTGTGTTACGTTGTGATCTGTAGTTCTTGTTTTCTATGGCCACGCTGCTGTTGAAACTGCCGACCATTATTGTCTCCTCCGTTAGCTCGTTCGTGATCTGTATCGTGTTGTGGTCAATTTTTCTATTTTTTGATTGGTTGGAGCAGTTTGCAGTTCTATTCCAGTACATAGTTAATAGCTAATAAATTGCAAGAGGAACTGATGAAAGTGCACGAGAGCTTGTAGACAGCCTGCTACCCATTTCGCTCTTTTTAAATTTCACTAGGTAAGCATAGTCCATTAACAGTATTTTGTCCTTTGAAATGGGAGAATTATACGCATGTGGAGATGAACACTCATTCAGACTACTTCGAAGTCTTACCCTACTGTCCCATATTCTGCTGGCATATTGATGGTGAGTAGAGCTTACCAAAATTCACACTAAAGAGTATTTTCTCCGCTAATCGACCGCACCAAATGGCTCTCCTACTGCGACACATCAACACACGATCCATATTTTGTTCAATTTGAATCAGTGTATTGTGTTGCATAAAGCTTTACTCTATTTGACTTGAAACCAGTCCGTTTCAGCCCTGAGTAAAAGTATCTATTGTGAACTAGGATGCACCAACAGGAGTGACGTCACACAAAACGAGCAGAGGAGAATGTGCTTTACTGACTGGATGCCAGGAGCAGAGCAGAAGGAACTACTATCCACAGTTGAAGCTTGAATTGGTATAATCAGGGGGAAAAGTGACACCCGTGAAATGCTGCTTCATTTGAGGGGTTCGTGAACTCAGTGGGCCTGATGGGCAAAAACAAGTAGGCAATACTTGAACGATAGTTCGCCCGTTGATGAGAAGCTTTATCCGACGATTTTGTGACTATATTGTCTTCAGGTACAGTAGTCTTTTGTTCAGGCTTGGCGAGAGTGACGGTGAGTTCCTGGGCCATAATCTTGAAGGTCAGGAAGGGACTACTGTAAGTCACCCGACGCTGAACAACTCCACAGCTTCCAAAAACCAGATGGGTGATTTTCACAACCTGGTACAGTTACTCAGACTGAATCTTCCTGGTAGTTCCCACTGTGAGAGCTAATCACACTGCGGTTCAGCCGATTGTGGTCGAGCATTAACTACCCAAACACTGACCGGAAGGTCACGAGTTAGAAACTCCGACTTTCCTGTGATGCATACGGCAGATGGTTCCCAGTAAGGGGAAAACAGCTGTGCAGTGCTTCTCGGCTCTTCAGAATAGAGTAGCACGAAATTTCATTTGAAGTTCCCGTTGCGTCCCTGGCAGACGGGGAATGCACACAATCCTCTGATTGCTCTGCTAGTGAACAACGGGAAAGACAGCTTAATGATGGACATATTCCACAGACAAATCAGTCTGACGCACATTCATACCATGTAGAAATTCGTGGATTGTTACAGGGTGCTGCTGTCCTAGTTTATTTAATACCTCTTAGAGAGGACCGCTGTTGTCTTCAGTTAGAAAAAATCGTTTAGCCATAGCACCCTTTGGTGTCTAGCCTGCCATGCTACGAGGGCTGGGATGCTGCCAGGTCGCCCAAGTCTAGACAGGGGAAGTCGAGAGGCGGATGTCGGGTTCAAACCTTCCGGCCAGTAAATTCGCGCTCTAACCACTGAGCCATCTCTCTCTCCAGCTAACTAGTGTCGATAGTCTATGCACCTGAATATTGGAATACTCTGGGACTTCCGATGACTTTTGCAAGATGGAGAACTAGCCCGATTATGATACAAAGATTCGCAACTGGGAACTAGAAGGCAGCAGTGGAGATATAGACACTGAACAGAGACGCCAAAAGGCTCGCCGTTGAGCTATAACAAAGAGTTAGAGTCCCCGACTACTCCCAACTGATTTACCCAACCATTTCGCAAAGCCACTGAACAGAACTGGTGTTTTAGCCGTTAGATTTTGGGCTTCCCTCCAATATTCAAAACAGCTAAACCGAAATCGTTATAATCAACATTTTTTAGGTGCCTAGTTCCGGTGTCACTGGGAAGAAAAAGGGCTGAGATACTACCAGTTTGGATCCAGGGCTGAGCTCGAACTCTAGGACTTACTAGTCAGTAAGTTCGCGCCTTAACAACTGAACTATGAAAGGTTCTATCATGCTCCGGGGTACCACAGGGACCTTCGGAAAGCTGTAATGAAGGGGGTGACACTGATCGGAACAACCCATGATACAAATAATGAACACCGATTTTCAGTACGGCATTCGCGGCAAACAGGACGAGGAAAAATGTCAACATGAAAGGACAACATAATTCCGATCGTGACACTGAGACTTACTTTGACCAAACTATTGATTTCTTCCTCATCAGCTGCATCTTCATCTGCTGCAATGCTATCATCGTCATCTTCATCGGCAGTGAGATCCTGTTCATCGAAATCGCTGTCACTGGCAGTATCAGACGACGGTTTTTCACTCATATTAGCGGTCCAGAGAGGGACAGAAACAGTCTTATAGTAGAGGAAAACCACGTGCTCGTAAAATCACCAGTAATACTTCTGAAAGTGCTATCTGAAATTTGAAGAGTTCAGTAGAGAGTGGAGACCGTGGGTGTGAATGAAAACCTCTTTGTAAACGTGACTAACACTCACTTCGCCGGAAAAAAATGAAGAAGCAGGTATGTTAGATACGTTGATGCAAAAACTCTCAAGCGGCGCATACAGTAACACGAGCTAACGGGCGCTTGGAATGATCCAAGTGGCAACGGGAACGTCAAGCGTATTGTTCCTCATGTTCATTCGGGTTGCAATCTGCGTAAATATTACTGTAGTTTACCAGACTTCAACCGACTAATTATCCGGTCGGAGAGTTAGTCACAACAAAATGAAAGTGAAGAAAGACACCTTTACCGTTTGAAAAATACACTATTTCACGGGAAACCTGGTTACTGTGCGTTCTAGAACAACGCCATACGTATGAACGACCCATAGTTTTGGCATTCCTGGAGCATTTTATTCCGTTGACCTGTTTGTTCTTCATTGCTCAGAAAGAAATGCCTCGGGAGGTTGTGAATATTCTAATTTCTTTGTTCTCAAAAGCGCGGGCGAGTGTACACGAGGAGGCTTCCGTAAACAAGGTGGTGTCCGTCTCCATTCCTATCCAATTTCATGATGGACGAGATAAGACGTGTGCTGAGTCTTCAGAACCCTGGTGTTCATGCAGCTGCTGACGAAAACCTCGTCGATCTGGAATATGCAGATGACACCGTCCTCGTCTTTGAAGAAAAGGTACGGGTTTCTTTGGATGAACTGACCAAAGTCAACTGGTCTTTTGACATGCACTTTGCAACAGGAGAGTGTGAAGCTATGCACTTGGATGTACAGTCACTGAACACGGCAATTGCAATTGTGGAGCATTTTAGCTATCTTTAAAGTTCCTACTGTGGTGCGAAACGTCAGATAAATGCACGGGTTTCTAGGCCCGGGTGGAGTGGCGGAGTGTATTTGAATGACAAGGGGTGTGTATCAGGCTACAGCATAGGTTGTTCTGTTGTATGACTGTGAGACCCGTGATCTATGCGAAAAGCGGATCCAAGACATCCTCAAATCTTCCACAACCGCTGTCTCAGAACGTAGCTAGTGTAAGCTGGTGCTGGCCAGATTGCAATTAGACAATTAGAAAGCGAGCGTTCGGTTGTGTAATGAAGACTTCCATCGAAGAATGTGTCCAGCACCAAAAAATGTGGCAGTCAGAGTGTAATTCGCGTGTCGAACCATCGTCTACCAAAGAGGGTACTATTTTTCGTGCGCAAGTTAGAGTGACGCAGTCAGAGAGATGGTCAATCTTTGACGTGGATGAAGGAAATGAAATCGACCACGAAAAGTCTGGCTGCTACCGGCGCGTCCCGCCAATCAGGATGGAAACTGCGTGATCCGTTCACCTTCCCGTGCATGGTTGGAGATGCTGTCAGTTGAAGCCAATGACTTTGTTGTTGTTGTTGTCAGCTTCTATCCAGAGTTACTGAATGAGTGCCTTCATGTGGAAACACTTCGGAATGATTGTGGTAGGTCGGTACTAAACCCCTTCCCAACCAACCTCTTTTCTGCACAATAAGGCCTTCAAATAACTTACGGTTGTACGGCAGCAAAGCACCAGTTTTGAACACTGATGTGCTGTCAATGATGACAAAGAGGATGGTGACCTGGAAGTGAGGCCAATTTATGCTGAAAAAAACTAGAACTACTGTACAGCTGTTTCGGCGTTATCTGGAATCATCAGCAGCACAGACCTCACGAAACGCAAGGGAGTTTCGAACTCGTAACCTCCCGGCTAGTAGTTTAAACACGCATTCGGCCACGCACGGTTAATTAACAGTGTTTAAAAGGGCAATTAGACAGGATATGGCGTCCTCCATCCCTTGACCACGGGATTCACACCACGTAGTCACGTGTTGGCTGGCTCCTATAGTGACGGCTTCGCAGGTATACTGTTCACTCGTCATGTGAATTCCTCGTTCTGAGCTACTTATTGCCTGTTAATGCTTCGGCTGTAGCACCCTTGAGGAGCCTAGCTACTATGCCACCCGAAGGAGGCATGACGACTGAGATACTGGCAGGTTACCAAAGTCTAGACAGGAGTGGTAGAGATGCAGAGGTGTGAACCACGGACCTGCCGGTCAGTAAGTCCGCAGCTTAACCAGAGATAATTCACAACCCAACCAACAGCAGTCACACGCAGTTTGTTGGTTCAGGCCCCTGACTTGGATGACGGGTGTTTGGTTCAGGAAGATACGGAAGTACAAGTGCCTCGATTTTGTAGTAGTACACTTGCTTTGTCCGTGTTCTCTACAGAAAGTGCTATAAAATCAGGGTGCGCCTTGCCTTTTACATAGTGCTCATACTTTAAAATCAGTCCTCTCCAAAGTGGCGTCGACTGTATGTCATTCGGCAGTGCGAAAAGCAAGCTGCAACCTCTGTTAAACCCGCCGGATAGTCAGGTTGTTACGGTAGAGTTCTTCCCGAATGGGCATTGTGTGTAGATGATCCTCATAACCAGAGACAGCATCGGGCATCAGGATTGACACTAACAATTCACTGCCGTACGACCAAAAAGCTTTTTGAAATTATGTTTATTGCATAAAACCGAGAGTAAAGTGGATGGGGAAGGAGCCTAATCTTGCCTACCGTAAGTATTCTAAGTTGCTTACAGCCTCGAACGCTCAGCCAATCTGGAAATAAATTGAAAGGACGAACACCAGTGACATCAATTAGCCGCCGTTTCGTGTGTCCTGAGTGTCAAATAGCATAAACAGTGCTCAAACTCTTCGCTAGGCTCTTCTATAGCATTGCGCGAAGTAAAACGTCGTCCTTTTCGCAGTTTACGCCATTCTGAAGGCAACACGAACATTCGTCTCGGAATATAATGGTTTAGCATGTCTTATACATGGCCGAACCACCAGGCTGATAGTGCTGGAGGTTTTGTGCGACTGAAGTAACTGTTGCACAACCAAATATCCGTCTTATAATCACCTAGTTACGAATTCCATTCGATACCAGAAACGCCTTTGAGACATCTATGGTGAAAAATCTGAAGCTCCAAACCATTGGCCTCCATGAGCCATAACCTCCAACCATACAACACAAACCTTACTGTAGGCTGGTATACCCGACCTTAAGACCCAGTGATACGCCATTTTTATGCAACAAGCGACGTGATGCAACGTGATTCGGAACTTCAATATTCGTGCACTGACTCCATCAGACGAAATTCCCTCTGGGTAATTACAATTACCGATGTAGGTTAAACTTGACGCAAACTGAAAGGGGCTTGTTCAGAGGCTGAACTTTCTCAACCAGGCCTTTGCACTTTGTGGGTGCATGGTACGTGTCAAAAGATGGTATGACAGTGAACAACTTATTCAACAGCAATTGTGCTTCGTCTGTATATTCCGAATTGACAATGTTCTCACTTGAAACGATCTGACCACTGAGGTTTTGAAGGCTTCCCAGCGATCACTTCATTGTTTCGTCGATGACGAATTGAGCAATGGAAAGTGCGCACAGTTGTGGGAAATTTTTTAGGAAGATCCCCAGACATCCTAACATGCCAAGAAGTAGGTGAATGCTCAAGAAATTCTAGGGCATCCTCCAGTAAGTAAGCGTTGTTCGAGACACCGATCGACCTACAGGATCGAGTGCACCCCTGAAGTGGGTCAATTGCATATAAGACCTTGTTCTAACAACTGGCGAAGAGTGAAGCTGTGGTCAGTGCAGCCTCTGCTTGTTTGATGCTCAAAAGCCAGTGTTTCACGTGCCAACATAAGACGATGAAGAAGCAGTACCGCCAGAAGATTTGCTACAAAAGGAGTCAAACTGATGCCTCTGTGGTCGCTACATTCACTCATATGTAAATAATCTGAAGAAGCATTGAGTGGGGAACTCACCATCGTCTTTGAACACAACAAGCGGAAGATCGTTGGGACCAGGAGAACGGCATCGCCTAAGTAATGGTACGCAGTACAGCACTTGAAGCTGAGAGACTGCCACTGTTCAGCTGTAACACCAATTCGGCGCCTAGCTGCCATGCCACCCGAGGGAAGCACGAGGGCTGGGATACTGCCAGGTTGCCCAAGCCTAGACAGGGGAAGTCGAGAGGCGGAGGTAGGGTTCGAACCACGGACCTTCCGTTCAGTAAATTCGCGCTCTAACCACTTGGACCATCTCGCCCTAACCACTTGAGACAATCCGGAAGGGAAGTGGCGGGGAACCAAATGGGATGTTGTTCGAGGTCTTTTGCTCAACGGTAATGCTCCAGCTCATTTCTCTGTTTGATTCTCCAGAGTTAGCTTTTTCAGAAGAGTTATCAAGGGTTCACGCGGTTTACGAAACGCCTAAAACTCATATACAGCGTGTTGCACCTATAGTGCGGTTAACGAAAAGATCATCGAGATTAGGACGCCCAATGAATGCACCAATGAGGTCAACATTGGTCGGATACAGGAACACGAATGGCTGTTGAGTTCAAGCTTTCAACTAATGAGAGCTCGTCTTGATAATGCGAGCGGCCAGATATCCTGAAAGACCGCATGCAACTTAGTCTTAGTTGTTGTTACAGCACTTGACTGAAGGTGGTAAAGCGATTTTGCGATAGGATTCCGCTGCTGCTGGAATCTGCTGGATATCAGATAACCATTCCTGTAAGCTATTTGACGCCCTTGTGCATTAATAATAAACAAACTAACACCTTTCTGTATAGGAGCTTTTAACGTTCATACTCTGTGTTGAACTGAAGAACAGCCAATGCTCACTGAGACCTTATAATTCCATTAAATATATGTACGCTTCTTTCCAAAACAGGCAAATAAGACCCAAGCGTGGTCATACATTTCAAAACGAAATAGATGAACTCAGTCCTTTCAAATTTCACACCCTGTATGTCCGGTGATTCAGAAGCGATTACTCGTGGAATATATGGCGTGGGAGTTGCACTTTGCTGGATTGGAACCCAGTGAACAGTGGTTATTCAGCTCAGTCAAGCTCAATACCATTCGACATTGAAAGCGGTGCCTGTTTGTAGTGTCGGCGTATGCTCCAACGGACTGCAGTCCTGACGCTGAAGATACCTTATATCGAGAGCGATCCGGGCTTGTTCGTCGAGGAGCACTGACATTGTGATCCTTGCAGGCGATATGAATGCCCAAGTCGGTCATCTGAGTTTCTTGGAATTACCCCAGGACGGTCACTTCGAAGCCAATGCTCGTCGCCCGACCAACGGAGAGTGACTCCTCCAGTTGTATACCGATCACCAACAGTCTCTGGCCAATGCGAACTTCCAGCATGGACTTTGGCATCGCCTAATGTGGCGGCCACCAAGTGTAAACCAACAATGGACCCAATTGGATTACGCACCCATCAGCCACCGCTGGAGAGCCACAGTTCAAGACTGCCGTCCCATCTGGGAAACACAACTTGATTCCGGTGACGCGGAGAGCCACAGTTCAAGACTGCCGTCCCAACTTGATTCCGGTGACAACACAGTGAGAGCACGTATGGTAGTCCGTTCCTCTATAGGTCCTCGCAAATCAGTAAGGAGCATGCCAATCCACCATTTTCCGAGAACTACCATAGCTCAGCAGTATCGTTCTGAAGTAGCTCACCAACTGTCTGCAGTAAACCAATACTACATGGTAGCGACACAGAAATGAAACGGCAAAATGTAAAAGAAGCTATGCTAGCGATGTTCACTGTTGCCTGTCCGACTTCTCTGATACCATCAAATGACCGTTAGATATAGTTAAGATCGCTAGTCCTGATTGAAGCCAGGAAATCCATATCAGCAGGCAGCGGGTATGACGGCGAACGCAAATTTCCCAAACGCCGAATAATACAGAGCCTAAGGAAGGACCGAAATGTCTGGTGGACACCGAAAGATCAGCAGATGGAGGTGTTTGTAAAAGGTCATCCGTATAACAACTGATACGATCGACTGGCCCTAGGAAAGCAAAGGTCAGTGGGACTGTGTGAAAAAGCAGCTCATTGATTCACTTGAAAAAATACCAACTAGAAATATGGGTCGAATAACAGTCTAGCTGGTCTCCTGAAACAGCCTCTGAAGACCATGCATACGGGCAAATGGTATGTCAACCTTAATCGCCCGTCGGAAGAAAGTACGAAATATTCATATTGAAACTTAAGAAGGGACCGGGACTGGATAGCCCGCTTCGAATGACAGTGAGTAGTATTGGTAATGCATCTAATTAATCTATAGTTAATCG